ATGGAACTAAATATTGGGAATAGAAAATTTTATTTTAAGGCAGGATAATTTTTCTTTTACCAAATTTCCAAAAAGTAAGTAAAATATTTAACCTTTATTAGGTCTAGAAGCAAATAAGTCTATAACTACTTTGTTGATATTTAAATAAATTAGTTAAGGATTTTTTTTTCCTTTTTAAATTTTGTCTATTATATTTTGTTCATCTTGTTTAATAATATGTGACCAATATATCATTAGAACAAATTTTATACTTATATGAATAATAATATTTATAGTCAACGACTACAATGTCATTATATTATTTATATGTAACAGTTTTTTATTTGAGACATTAATTTCTTGTAATTCTATTGTCTAAAATAAAAGTATAAAATTGTAGTCATTGAAAATAAATAACAGGTATTAAATATAAGATGACTATTGTAGTCATTGAATATAAATATCATTACTTTAAATGAATAATACTATTCATAGTCAACAACTACAATACAGAATAGAGACACATACAAAATTAGTTCCTTTTCCTTTATTAGGTCTAGAAATGTTTTTATGTGGACAAAACAAATCTTTATTAAATAGGGATAACTGCAGTTATCGCACCAAATTTTCTAATTTTGCAAATTTTATCTTAACTTTTCGTTTGTTACAAATGTGGTCCTAAACCTTTCAAATATGTATGGTTGGAGACTGTTAGTTGGTCAAAATAGTAGATTTTGACATTTTGACCAATTTTTTAAGGGTAAAATGATAAATTTATATTTTTTCACAAAAAACACAATTATGGTTGCAAAAGAGGGAAAAAAAAAGGAAAAAAAAAAGAACAAAAATCATAATCAAAACTATCCATCGATCTTCTTCCCCACTCACCCCAAAATCAAAATCAAAGCCAAACCACCACCACCCACTCAACGCCAGCAGCACCATTGTCTTAAACTAAGGATCCTTTCGATTGCAAAGATAGGATTAAATTGAATTGAAAACGAATTCAAGGGAATTGAATTGCCTAAAAATTATTTTCTTGAGAATTGTAAATTATTGTATTTGATTGGTATACTTTTTCACGTGAAAAATGTTGAAATAAAAGTGTTTGTTTATGTTCGTTTGGCTTTGTTTTACATTAAAATTGTCAATTAAAAAGATAGAATTTACTGGTATTGGGTATAAAATTTGTTTCCTTGCCAACAAAAAAAAAAAAAAAAAAAAAAGAAAATCATCTATCTTTTGATGTTCGTTTGGCTTTGTTTTACATTAAAATTGTCAATTAAAAAGATAGAATTTACTGGTATTGGGTATAAAATTTGTTTCCTTGCCAAAAAAAAAAAAAAAAAAAAGAAAATCATCTATCTTTTAGTGTTCGTTTGACTTTATTTTATATGAAAATTGTCAGTTAAAGGGAAATTTTTTTTTTACAATAATTCTTAGAACTTATTTCCATTGCCAAAAAAATAAAAATAAAAATAATAGAAAAAAATTAAAAAATTGTTATAGTAACCAAGAATTCCAAATCTCACCATTTCAAGGTTTTCAAAGAAAATGCTGATGCGCCCAAAAAAAGGTGAAATTCATTTTCCATAGAAAATTTCACCTATCAAATACTACAAAAGTTGAAAAATGGTATTGATTTTCCATTTTCCATGGAAAAGGGTGTGCTTTCAAAGCCCCTAATCTCAAAGTCAATCTTCTAATTTCCATCTCCATCTCCTCAATTTCCACATTAAAACTATTTTCATCAATGAGAGCAAGAACTAGGGTTTAGATGAAAGGGATTAGTTTGAGGCGGTGGTGGTGTCGACATTGGGTGGGTGACGATGGCAGTGGCAATGATTATTATTTTGGGGCAAGAGGTTAGATTAGGGTGGGGAGGATGAAGATGAGTGGGTGGTTTTGATTTTTGTTTTTTTATTTAATTATTATAGTTGTGTTTGTGTGTGTGTGTGTATACACACCATTTGACCCTTTTAAAATTTGGTCAAAATATATCAAAATTCACTATTTTGATCAACTAACAATCAAATGAATGGAAACTATCCATTTGTCTTCCAACCATACGTATTTGAAAGGTGAATTATACTACTTGTACATAAAAATAGTACATAAAGGATTACAAAAATGATGTAGAAGGAAAAGATTTGATAAAAAAGTTAACTATATTTTAAGCTAACAAATGATAAAGTAACATGTAGCAATATGTAATCCATTATGTGAAGCTTTGATGTACATGTAACAAGTCGTCAAAAGGTTTGGAACCATGGGTGCAACAAATGAAAGGTTAAAGTAAAATTTGTAAATACTTGAAAGGTTTGGGATCGTGCTGCAATTATTCCTTTTAATTATCGTATTATCTGGTTCATGCACCACCACGTATCTACTTTCTAAATAAATCAAACTTGAACCAATAAAAAAAAACATGAAAATTTGCAAATGTGGCGACGGTCTGTTTGGATTTATTATTAGGACTTTAGTTTTGAATAAATAAGGCAGTAGGTAGCTGTGGCTTTGTTACAACCATCAGAAGGTCAAGGATTATATAATTGACGGGTAATGCAAAGAGGGAAATAATAAGGCAAGATTTTGATATTAAAATGTGTTGGACTCTCTTAAAGACTGGAAAATATAACATCACGAGACAATTACTTTTACTTGTCACAATTATAATCAACCTAAAATATGAGGTTGTAAAATATGAATGAATATGGATTGATATATGCAAGCAAAACATTGATTTCGAAAGGTCAAAGGTTCAATTCAGAGGTCAAAGAATTCAATATAGAGTGTTACTGATTATGAAATAATTAAGGGGGTGTTTGAGCCACATTATTTTGGTAATAATACATTTTTGAATAATGTATTGATGGGAAATGTGTGGTTAAAAAATAAGGAAATTTTTTTTTATCTGCGTGTAATATTATTTTATTGAAGAATGTGTAATTGAAATGATGTCAAATCACTATTTAAAAATGTATTTTTTTGGAATAATGTGGTTCAAACAGGCTCTAAATAAATATTTTTTTCCCTTTTAAAAACTGAGTGAATAAAATATATTCTCGTTCACTTTGTTTCTGGTGAAATGATTAGTTCTAAGATTTTTATAATGGATTTTACCTTCCTTTTTTCTTTTTTCTTTTTTTTTTTTCCATATAACCTAATTGAATTTTGGTCGTTACCCAGCTTTCTTCCTAACTAGTCGAGTCTGATTTTATATCTTTCATAATGGGTAATCAGCATTTGGCACAAAACATCCCTACCTTTCAAGTTTATTATGAAAAACATCTTTACCTTTCATTTTTTGACATTTGCACCCCTATCTTCCACCTTTCTTTACGTTGAACATCTTTTTTATTTATTTTTTGACAATTTTACCTTCCTATACAAATAAAACAAAAAGAAAAGAAAAGAAAAAATAGAGAATAATTGCAATCATGGTCCCAAATTTTTAAAAAATTACAAATGAGTTACAAATTTTCAAAAAAATTATATATTGCAATCATGAAGCCACTTTCATGCTGGCTTCACCACCACCTACAGTGCTTCTTGCCACCATGGAACAATTGGCTTTGACATACTCCGCTCCAATAAAATTGTTTTACCATAAATAGAATCTCAATTCTTAAGAGAGGGGAAAATGCAGAACTTATAACTCAATAAGACTGGGAATGAACAGTGTGCCTGGTTGAAGAATGGTTAAGAACTTACAACCCAATAAGTCAGGAACTCCCCAATATCATTTACCACTCCAAGAATGATCAACTGTTGCTGGTTGAAGCCAGTTTCTACCTAAACTACAGCACCTAAACCTACCCATAGTGGCATGCTCCCTACTTTTAGCAACACCATTCTTTAGGGAAGATTCTTTAATAGGAACTCTTCTTGTTACTTAACTCAACACTGAAGTAAAGAGTTTGCACCTGAAGATTCTCTAATAAGATATAAACAGAAAAAAGAGTGTACCTATACTTTTCCTCTATATTTTTCGAAGAGAGTGTCATGGTTGCAATTAGTTCTCCCTTTTTCTTTTCTTTTCTTTTTGTTTTATTTGAATATGAGAGTAAAATTGTCAAAAATGGATGAAAGGGACATTCAGCGCAAATAAAGGTGGAAGGTAAGGACGAAAATACCAAAAAATGCAAGTTATGGACGTTTTCCACAGTACACTTGTAATGTAAGGACGTTTTGTACCAATTACCCCTTTCATGATAAATGAACTTTTTTCCTCATAGTAATTCTAATTGAACTTGGTGAACTCAATTAAGAACTATTGAACAAGAAGCTTTAAATTTGGTCGCAAGGTAAATTCAATACAAGCACAAACTTCGAAGATTATAAATAGAGTAATGCTATTTAGTTTCATTGGGCTTGCAATCCCAATCTAAACGAAGATTTACCACATCATTCTCCTTTAATTATAATAAAAAGCTTTCAAGTTTTTGAAATAATTTTGCTTCCAATGGACACTATTTTACAATAAATAAAAATTATGTACTTGATAGTAGTCGATATAGAAATATTACATAACGTAATTATCTTAGCACAATATTCAAGGTTGTGCTAGACTTTCATTATCACAATCATAACCCCAAAAAAAATTGAAAAAAGAAACTTTTGACCATCAAATTGGCATAATTGTGGCCATTATACGGTCAAATGGTCTTACGATCATTTTCGAAAATCAAACTAGTCCATGGGATAATTTTTCACCGACCACTTACCATTTCTTGGAATTCATGTAGTTCTTAATCAGTTATGGGCCCATAGACTCGTGCAAAGTCCCATAGTGCCAAGTGGACCCATTACAGTGACATCATATGCTGACATCACCATGAAATATCGTGTGACCTGGTCGCCATGTCCACAAAATCTTTTGACCCTCGTGCAATTATGGGGGCTGCACCAAATTTACATTTATATGCATGAAATTTGTGTTTTTTTACTATAATATCCCTATCGGGCTCTATATATATGTAGTCAAAGTTCTAGCAGTTTATAAGTTATTAGATTTTCTAACGATCAAAGACCACTTATTAAGTAAGAAGCAGAAAATCAAAGTAAAACTCAAGAATTCAAACCTCAAACCCTCTTATAAAGAGTAGTACCTTCGAAAAATTCAGTCATGGATTCTTCATTCTTATATTACTCTTTGAACACAGAAAATCAGCTTCCGCCATTCCCAATGCATCATTCACAAGCCCAACATCTTCCTTTCAATGAGAATGACTCCGAAGAGATGGTGCTCTATGGAGTATTAGCAGAAGCCGGGGGTGTCGATTCCTCATCGGAAAGAACTAATCAAATGCAGTACTCGCCGGAGAAGGAAGTAATGTACAGAGGTGTACGCCGGAGACCATGGGGAAAGTACGCCGCTGAGATAAGGGATTCTACGAGGAATAGCGAGAGAGTTTGGTTGGGAACTTTTGATACTGCAGAAGCAGCAGCCTTGGCTTATGATCAAGCGGCATTAGCCATGCGAGGGTCGACTGCGGTGCTCAACTTTTCGACCGACGTTGTTTACGAATCTCTGAAAGAGATGAAGTATGATTTCGAGGTCGGACGTTCGCCGGTGTTGGCGTTGAAGAAAAGACACTCCATGAAGAGGAAAGCAGTGAGTAACAAGAAGAAGAAAGAGAAGGAGCCAAGGCTGGAAAACTTCGTGGTTTTGGAGGACTTGGGTTCTGAATATTTGGAGGAACTACTTTGTTTGTCCGAGAACTCTTTTGCAACCATACGTTCGATTGGTTCGCTGGAGTAGATTAACGAGTCTAAAATTAAATGATAAGACGTTTCTATTGACTTGTGAAAAGTCAAAGAATATGTAGCGTACATTAGAATGAAGTTGATCGATTAGAAATATGCAATACAATGTCGATTATGCGGTGTGTTCTATCTAATTAGTTTATCAAAAGTGATCTATCACTGAAGTTTTACGTTAGAAATAGTTATCAATTTTAAGGATAATAAATGGCGGAATGTTCATTCAATCCAAATCCAGAATAGGATAACAAATCAACTATTTTGTAGGACTTGAAGTTATCCAGATTATGATGACAATTCAATTTTTTTAGTGGGATTTGAATTTTGTAGTAATATAGTTGGTCAAATAGACCAGAATAATGGGTGTTTTAACTTTTGCTAATCCGTCTCTTCATTGGCGAAGTCTTGCCCACTTGCCAATTCCCATCTCCTTTGAATAATATAGTAATTCGACAAAGATGATTCTCTCTCTCTCTCTCTCACATCAAAATTAATTACATAGATGATCATGTCCAAATAGGGGTAACGTAACGTATAAAGAAAAAGAGACATATTGAATTAGACAAAATACCCATTTTCATAGATACATTTGAAAAAATGGATGGTTAAAATAAATTGTTGATTTTAACTTAAATTTTTAATTTGATTCTAATCTACATCAAATACAAGTACAGTGACATCTGGAAAGAAATAGCCATTTAGTGAAAATTCGAACTGAAATGCCGTTTTGATGTACATTAGTCCCACATGTTGCCCAAATGCTTGTTTCATCCAAATATATCTCTATCAAACCTTCATTTTGAAATTTGAAGCACCTCGAAAACGCAAGGTGCTTTGGACGCCAGGTTAGTTGCTTATTGTTCATATCTTACGTTGTTTAGTGTTCTTTGTAGTGAAAATGGACAAGGTAATGTCCAATTTTCGAGTGCGTTTGATTGCCTATATTTTTTTTTTTATGGAAAATGTGTTTTTTCCATCCAAAATCCTACTTTTATGCTGTTTAATTGTCAATTTTTTCTCTGTGGAAAATTTTTTCCCACTCTTGATCACGTGATCATATTTTCCCCAAAATCAAGAAAAATATTTTCTTTAAAAAGAGTAGGATTTTATTTTCCACGGAATACACTCACTCTTTCTCTCTCTTATTTATCCACCCTCTCTCATTAACTCACCAATAAAAATGGACAAGTATAATATTTTCTAAATTGAAAATTAAATCAATCAAATACATTTAATTAACAATTTTCATATAAATAAATTCTAGGTAATTGAATTACCTAGAATTTATTTTATTTCCATGCTTGTAATCAAACGCACCCTTCAATTAAAATCTTTTGTGCGTACAAATACACCTAATATTATAATAAATCAATGTGTTACAAATGTACAATATATATAAAACAATTGATTATCAATTCTTATCGCAAGTATTTTATGCTTATAGCTGAATTTCAAATGTGTCTTTTAAAAGCTAAGACTGCAAGGTCGAGTAGATGAAATCCAGAATGGAACACACAAATCATCATCACCTTAACTGATTTTCTAGAAATTGAGAGTAAAGTACGGCTAAAAAGACTAGAAGAATTTATTGCTAGAAATTGCAGATGGCGTTAGAAATAATTCTTCCCACTTTCCACTGGTTACAACAAACTTCATTTTATTAAGAGAAGAGAAATAACTGTGCCTTTGATGGAAAGAAAATAGGAAAATAGGAGACCACATATCAGTAAATTAGCTCTAAAAGCAGTTTTCTTTCCAGGAATTTCATGTGGCTTTCATTAGCACCCTACTGAGCCATCACGAATTTCCAGCTTTTTTCCAAAAGTAGAGAGTAATAATGTACCAATCAGGTCCAAGAATTTCATACCTTGATCTCTTTAAATTTAGAAACTGAGTAAACGATGTGATCTAAGATTTGAATACTCAATTGGAAGCTGACCTGCATTACCACTATCGTGATAGAAAAGCACAAGGAGTGGTGTCATATCCAGTTATTGATGGTTGATGCATATTTTATGAATTTCTACAAGATTCTAAAATTGCTTGGGAAGAATATCCAAGAATTGCTTAGCAAGCAAGAATAATAAAAAATCAGAATTATCTAGAATTTACTGGAGAAACTTGGACACCAAGAAAGTTTGTGTAATTTGTAGACATAAGTAGAATTATCTAGAAGAAATCATATGTAAGCTATGGCCTATAAATAGGGCATGAGTCTCTCATTTGTATGTAAGCAAAAACCATTGTCATTCTAATAAAGTTCATTTCTCCTACCGACTTTGTCTACTAAATTACTTTCTATCAAAATTTCCATACTACTAACTTCCAACAAAAGGCCAACTATTTTCTATCTCCAAAATTATCACATACAAAACATATTAAACCATCTAATCTAATCTCATCACTACAGGAAAAATTATCAATGTTATCGAGCCACGTTCATTGGACGTAATCAAATATTATGGCAGACGCTTTCCGTTCATCCATCCCTATTCCAACATTTAATGTAGACAACTATGAATTTTGGTCCATCAAAATGAAGGCCTACTTTTGTGCGCAAAATTTATGAGATGTCGTCAATGATGAGTATATTAACCCAGATGACATTTTCACTCTACTACCGCACAAAAGAAGAAACTTAAAGCGATTCTCTAGCACTATTTGCTCTACAAATGAGCTTGACGGGCACTTATTTTCCAAGAATCATGGGAGCCCAAACGGCAAAAGAAACTTGGGATAAACTGAAGGAGTTTCACGACAGTGACAAGGTACGTACTTGCCGTCTTCAAACTTTAAGAAGGAATTTTAAAAATTTAAAAATGAAAGATTCTGAAACTAAGAAAAATTATTATTCAAGAATAGATGAAATAGTAAATCAATTAAGATCTTATGGAGATGATATTCCTCAAAAGAAAGTCATTGGAAAAAATTTAATTACTTGCACAGAAAAATATGATACAATTATTGTAGCTATTGAGGAGTCAAAAGATATAGATAAGTTGACAGCTGCAGAATTAATGGGTTCATTAGAAGCACATGAAAAAAAGATTAGAAAGACATTATAAGATTAACACAGAAAACGCATTCCAATCTAAAGTTAATATGCAATTTCAGAAATCTAAAGGTGGGAGAAAATTTAAAGAAAATTGTAAAAATAAAGAAACTCAAGAAAAAGAATTTGATAAAAGCGACAAGTATCCTTCACGTGATATAGGTAAAAGAAAAAGTCATTTGGAGAAGGACTGTTGGTTTAAAGGATAATCACAATGTCACTGTGAAAAATTTGGTAACAACGAAAAATTTTGTCGTTCTAAACAAAATCATCAAACTAATTTCTCTGAAGAAAATGATATAAAAAAGGAAGTTTATTTTACGTCACTAACAAGGATGCATCTGATGACAAACTAGATTCGTGGTATCTAGACAATGGTTGTAGTAATCATATGACGAAAAATGAAAGTATTTTCAGTCTTGATAAAACCAAGGCAAAAATCAAGATTGGCAATGAAAATTTTATAGAGGCAACAGGCAAATGTACTATTGCCGTTAATACAAAAAAGAGCAAAAGATACATCAAAGAAATTCTCTTAGTCCCTACAATAGATCAAAATCTATTAAGTGTAGGTCAGGTGATGGAGAAAGGATATGCATTATATTTTGAAGGAGATTCTTGCATGATCTATGGCAAGAAAGATAAATCTCTTATAATTGCAAGAGTTAAAAAGCAAGAGAATAGATGCATTCCAATCCAATGGAGATATACAAACAATGCAGCAATGATGGCACAAGTGGACAAGTCATGGCTGTGGCATAAAAGATTTGGACATTTCCACTTCCACGGGCTGAGAATCCTACAGCAAAAGAGTGTGATGAGAGACTTACCAGTCATAAAAGAAATTGATGCAGTCTGCGAAGGATGTTTGCTCGGTAAACAACACCGCCAATCATTTCCATCCAAAAAGTCTTGGAGAGCTAAAAAGCTATTAGAGCTGATACATACAGATATATGAGGTTCGATGCGTACTCCATCACACGACTTCATTGATGACTACACTAGAATGACGTTGATATATTTCTTATTTGAAAAATCCCAAGTATTTGAGATTTTAAAAAGGTTCAAAAACTTTGTTGAAAAGCAAAATGGTTGCAATATCAAAACTATCAAAAGCGATAGAGGCAAAAAATATATATCAAATGAATTCAATAAGTTTTGTGAAGACGCAGGAATGGAGCATCAACTCACAGTTGGATACGCGCCTGAACAAAATAGCGTGTTAGAAAGAAATAATAGAACAATAATAGAGACAACTAGAGCTATGCTAACGGAGAAAAGTCTTCCAAAAACTTTCTGGGCAGAAGCAATAAGCACTGCACTCTACTTACTAAATCAATGTCCAACTAAAACTGTGCAAGACAAAATGCCAGTGGAAGCATGAAGCGAACAAAAACCATCAACAAAGCATCTCAGAGTTTTTGGCAGCATTTGCTACACACACATTCCACTAGAGAAAAGAAGTAAGCTAGATGAGAAAAATAGAAAAATGAATCTTCTTAGGTTATAGTATTCAATCAAAAGGCTATAGAGTATATAACCTAAGGACAAAGAAGCTGATTATAAATGGAGATGTTAAGTTTGATGAAGATGCCACATATAACTGGGACACTAGTCAAGTCGAAAGAAAAGCTATCAGCATCCTAACACAACCATAAAAGCAAGAAGGTGACGTTGAGGAGAACAATCAACCAGAGTCTCCACAGCAAGCAACAATAGAAAAACCAGATGACTCACCAGAATCGTCATCAAGAAAGACACGAAGATTATCGAAAATATATCAAAGTTGCAACTTGATGATCATTGAACCTGAAAGTTATGAAGCAGTTTCAAAACAACCAGAATGGAGAAATGCTATGGATGAAGAAATAAAAATGATCGAGAAAAACAACACTTGGGAACTTGTAGATCTTCCTCAAGACAAAGAAGTCATAGGAGTTAAGTAGGTCTACAAGAAAAAAACTCAATGTTGATGGCTCAATCCAAAAACATAAAGCAAGGCTAGTCGCTAAAGGATACTCACAACTTTTTGGCATCGACTACACTGAGACATTTGCTCTAGTTGCACGTCTTGACATTATAAGG